TCCTCTACAGAGGAACAGAGGACTCTTAGAGGAAGATGGAACCCTTCGGTGGCACATTCTTTACTGACAGATCTGTCCCTGGATAAGCTCCAGCTCCTGAATGTTGTAAAGGCAGGCTGGAAAGAACTGTATATAGTAATTCCCACAAGGGCTACATCCCAAGATACCCATGAGTGCCTGAAACAGTGGCTAGTAGCAAACCCTATACATACTGTTTTTTTTTTTCTATAGTAAATACCTGTGACACCTACTTCATAAATTAGGTACAGTAAGAGACTAATGACAATAACAATAAAATAGACCTAAAACAACATAATCATTAAAAAGTTAGTTAAAACTTATGAATAATTTGTTTCTGGAAGTATCTATGAAATATTTTTGGGTAATTGAAAATCCTAGAAGGTGAAACTGAAGATAAATGGGTCTACTATAATCTGTGTCTTCTCTTGATTATCCCCATTTATAGCATTTTTAACCGAATTTAGGTTGGAGATGGCAAGATGAATGTTTCACGCTAATCCTTCTCAAACTCCTATTGAAATGACGGAAGAGGAAGGAAATTACACACCATTGGGGTGAACAGGGAAAGGCGGCAGCTACAGGAAATAAATTGGAGGCATTCCTGGTAGATAGAGTCAGGTTGCAAATAAAGGAAGGAAAGACTGACCTGTCCATAATTCGGTATCTGCAAAAGAACTGCAAAAACTGATGGGCAGCCTTTCCCACCCCTCCCCAAAGTCCTTAAAATATATTATAGTTGGCTCTTTGTAGCTTTGAGTTCCACATCTTTAGATTCACATAATTGTGAATACAAAATATAGACAGCATGATCCAAAGTGCATGTATGAAGACACGAATTGGTGTCAACATACTTTATAGACAACCAGATATATAAAAAAATGTGCTGTATATGTGTAATAAGAGTTGTAATGCATTTCGCTGTCATTTATTTTCAAAAAAGGTGTGTGTTTACTGACATGAATAGATTATTTTCATGTCATTACTCTCAAACTATCTATAACAGAAATGTATTTACATAGCATTTACATTGTATTTGGTATTAAAAGTAATCTAAAGACGATTTAAAGCATATGAGAGGATGTGTATAGAGCATATGCAAATTCTATGCTATTTTATATGTGGAATTTCAGCAATTGCAGATTCACTGTGGGAAGTCCTGAAATCAATAAATACCCCACAAAGACCAAGGGCTGGCTGACTTTATTTAGTCCTTACCCTAACCTTATATTAACCATTTTTATTGGTGAAAAAAAATAAATGTTGAAGGGCTTAAATAATTTGAGGTTAGATAAATATTTGAAAGCAAGCCTGCCTACCTGACTTTAAGTCTCTTGTTCTTTAGTATTTCCACTATTCTTTAACTGAAATACGTATAGAATATCCTTCTGTTCCCCACTTTGGATTGGATTTTATTCCTGTGGAATATAAGGGCAGGTACAATGGGGAAGAGTTCAAGGTTTGGCTCCTATATGCTCAATACTTTGAATAATTGTATATGACTGCTTCTAAATAGCCTGCATTTCTCTTTGCTGGTAGGACCCACAGAAAACATCGGACTTCCTAAGAAACTGCTTGATAAAAATGACCCTTGGCCAGCTTATGTCACCTATATCTCCCCAGTGGTAAAAAGACTCATTGAGAAAAGCAAAACTAGAGAATTGGAATACAGGCAGACTTTCGAGGAAAGTCAACGGGCATCACGGCTGAACAAGCCTTCCAGCACACTCCAGATGGGAGGGAGAATAAAGTCCTTCAAGTCCTCTGAAGAAGCTGTGTTCAAGGATATGCTATCAGAGACTATGTTATCAATGTTGGCAACTTACTCTTTTTTGGATTCTCCTGTTGCCCCAGAACCCACGTATTTACAAAAGGATTCCAGAGAATGTCCCACCGCAAACTATAACAAGATCATTTTCCCCCGCAAACCTATGATGAGGATGCTTCCATACAGCTCGCTACCGGCCAGCAAGGAGAAATAGGCAAATGGCTAGCTAGGAGTCCTTGCAGCCATCCCCTAAGAATGTACAGCAATTAAGCTCCATTGGCCACAAAAGTACACTATGTCCTTTAACTTTGAACTTGCTCGGGTTCATGCAGAGGTTGGCGGAGAGAAACCACATCAGAATGTGGGCTGTGAGTTGGATGGGTAACCCTGCTGCAGCTCTGCAGCCTGTGGATTTGGACAGTTCCGCCACAGATGCTGAGGACCTACCTGTAGGTACATCAGTCAGGACCAGGAAGGTGACAGAGATCACACCAGTTAATTTTATCAGAGATAATATTATGAAGAATTATCAACTAGGAAAATGAAAAGGACGTAAAGATAATCTGAAGGGATCCAAGTAGGGTAACCCCTGCAGGAAGCTGGGTCAGCAAAGGGAATACACTGGTCTCTCTGAGAGGTCATTTGGGAGACTGGTTCTGTGTGTTGGAAAAACTCCAAACTAGATCCATGTGTTCCTCCAGTTTGCCACTGTCTGGATGGATAAATAGGATTAATAGGGAAAGTGGACAGGGACAGGAAGCAAACCACCAGGGAGATCCATCTTCCTCCTCTAGCCATGCAGGCTCTTGCTAGCGCCTCCTACAGGCTGAGTTGATCAGAGCCTAAAGCAAGGATATGATTTGCAGAATCCCAAACACAGCATCTCCAAGCATGGTATGAAAGGATGGATTTTTGAAATCAAGACAATACTAGCTTAATAACGAGCACATGGTTCTGATGCTCCATTTTGGCCTCTGAACCTGGTATTGAGGTTAGTTTTTCTTGGATGGCTTACAAAATAGTGGTGGGAGCCAGAGTGTTCCCTGCTGAGAAATGGAAGATCCACACCTGCGAGCCCCACTCGGTTGTAGTTCTTTTAAGGTTTACTTTATGGAGCAGAGATAGTGGAGGAAGAAGTTCTTGGCTGGAACCCTGCTTTTATTTGTAAAATGGCCACTAGAATTTGTCTACCCATGCTCTTAATTGGTCCCAAATCAAGCAATGCTGAAGTCTGCTCAGTCTCCAAGTAGACAAGCTCTGTTTTGAGACACAAGGAAGATTTGGTTAAGACAGGCAGCTCTAGCCAGTCTTGTCTTTGGGATTTATCGGCTAAGCATGGCTGACCTCACCTGAGTTTCTGTGTTTGTCTTTGCAAAGGCAGTTAATACCCATCTGGCTTCCCCAACAGAGTTATTATACAGGATGTGATATACTAATAGATATGTCATTTGAAACAGTTAAATTTTCCCTACAATGCATTTTTACCTGTCTAAGAGTCTTGTGTGTTCACCCTCATTTATGGGTACAGCTTTGGAGATCTCATCTTCGACTCCTATGCATTTGTGTTGGGACAGAAGTATAAATTAGTAGCCCTGGACCAGTTCCTGGGTTCACAACCCTTGATCAGAAAGAATTCTTGCAAAAATAGATGTTTTCTAGTGAATCTCCATGATTGTATTCTGTGTCCATACAATGTTTACAAACCTGGAGGCAGGTGCTAAATTCGTCCAATAAGAAATTTTATATCTTCTTTTTATGGGTTTTTATGTACAGGGTATATTTGGGAAAGTGTAGATTGAAGAGCCTCTTGGAGTGTTAGAGTTTGTAGGAATTTAGGATTATTGGATTATTTCTTCCAATCTCTTCAAGGGATGAGTAGTGTGGTAATTTCCCAAAGGTTGCATAGAGTTTTTTTTGTTTGTTTGTTTGTTTTGAGGATGGGAGGGTAACTGAGATTGAACTCAAGGGCACATGACCACTGGACCACATCCCCAGTCCTATTTTGTATTTTATTTAGAGATAGGGTCTCACAGAATTGCTTAGTGCCTCGCTTTTGCTGAAGCTGGCTTTGAACTTTTGATCCTCCTGCCTCAGCCTCCCGAGTTACTGGGATTACAGGTGTTCCCGCCTTATAGGTTTATTTATTTATTTATTTTTAGTTTCTAGATATTTAATAGTTTTTACAAACGTATGTACTTTAAACTCAAACTATTGTGTTAGAGACAACATTATTTAGATAAATTTAATTCTAACAACATAAGCATGAACCAATGACATCATTTTACATCTTATGCACTAATGAAAATTACCTGCATTGTGTGACTGCATTGGTCCCTGAAGCAATTTTTAGAAATAAGAAGTCTAGTTCCTTTTGAAATAGGAACTCTGCTCAAGCCCTAGATGGAACTCATGGGTCTGGCCAACCTGGGGGTCTTGAGTAGCCCACTACTAGGAAAGAATTTTCCCATGGAAGAAACAGCAGGACGAGATCAGCTGTTCCCAGTAATGAAGTATCGGTCACTGGGGGAGGAGGATGATTCTGTGTACCCTGTGGTGTCTGATAATCAGATTTATCTTTTGGTCCAGACATTCCCGGGTGCCCTGGAGTAGGTACCAGTCAGTCTCTCAAAGGGCTTTCAATAAAATCCTGTGGAGTACCAAGTGGAGGGAGATCTTACTGACTTCACAGTCCACCAGCATATAAGCCCCACTGCCTGATGGGGATGTGAAACTTCTAGGTCTGGCGGATGCTGAGTGACATCTTTGGCACTCCCAGAAATAGGCCTGGAATCCTTCGTGGGGCCTGATGTCTGTCATGAGCAGCAGAGTACACATGGAGTGGAATGTGGATTATTCCCAACGTAACCTCATCTGCCTACCCAAGTTAGAGAGACCTAAGATATCTCAGGTTACTCTGAACACACTGAACTTCCATCTTGGAGAGGGAACTGGCCTTCTATGATGGTTCATAGCCCACAACCTCTTCTTATTTATCTCCTCTATGAATGGAATTTTCTGCTTGGCAGGAGAGCTGTTTTAGTGGATCCCCCTGCTGTTGTAAGTTTAGGAAACACTAGAATATGTATTTTGTTAGCCCATCTGTGTTGTTCTGTAACTAAGGCCCTGTTCTGACACATACTGAGCAGCTGTTTTGGACAGATTCTTGGGCTCCCTGTGCACAATATGGTATTTACCCATTTGCAGATTCCATGGTTGGTGTTTGAACAGTGGATGTTTAACTTCGGCAACACTGACTGAGCCTGCTGGTCATTTTCATTTTGTTAGGAGACTGTTGGGACATCAAGTTCCACATTCTGCAGCCTGCCTAGCTGTGGTCCTGGAGCACATCTTGGTGGAGATTAGGCTGCTTGACAGATAAGAGGTCTGCAAGAGTCTTCAAGGAGGTAACTGTGTCCAGGAAGGTGCTGGTGCAGGTGTGGGAATGCTAGATGTTTGGGGGAGGGCCTGAGAGTCTTCTAACTGGTATGGACTGAATTGTGACCTAAATGGAAGATGTGGGTTTGGAGCCATATGGGAATAAGAGTGTGGTCAGCAGATCCAACTCTTCCTTTTGTTAGCCCACATCCTTTACGGCAGAGACTTAAATGCCATATAGTAACATGGTATCCCTCCCCTTTTCTTAGGACGGAGGGAACAAAATGGGTACTGTGAGGTCTAAGTTATGATCTTTGGACTTTGTGGGGGCTCCTCATGAGAAATCACATGAAGCAGGGGACACAGCACAGGGCAGAGTTCAGCTCCCCATGCTCGAATCCCAGCTAGGCACTGAAGATGTATCCAAGGGCACAAAAAACCAGGATCAGGAGTCCCAGCCCTGTCATTCTGCTATATACATCAGCAGCATTTGTAAAAAGATTGTGAATGTGCCTTTGGGAGCTGTGTCCCAGCAAACATGCCCGCCTGCACCATGTGGTTCTTTTTGGCCTTGAGTCATTCCTTCCTAGAAGCTTTTTTGGAATCCCCATACTTCCCAGACCAAAGGGCACATTTTTGGAGCTAGCATATGATCAATGCCAGAGAAGACAGACCCAGAAACCCCGGGAACAGGGAGTCAGGGAAGGGGAAGTAAACAGGGAGTTTGACTGTGATCTGAGGTTGTCACAGCCTGGACCAAAGCTCAGAGTAGGGTTTCTCTTTGCCACGTAATCTGGAAAACCTCCCTCTTTCTCCTTCCCTCCCCCTTTCCTACCCACATCTCTTATGAGAGACCTGAGGCAAGCTACTTAAGAACTTAGAAATCACCTTACTAAAATGTCCTTAAATCTGTAGAGCATGGCTAGGCTTGGCTTGCACACGTTCAAGGGATTCTTTGGGGCATGCCAGGCAGGGCCAGCAGGGGATGCAAGAAAAGCCCTCCTCTGTCTCATATTCCAACCTGACCATGAGGCAATTTTTCTTCGGACAGGGCAGAATACAGTGGAGGAGCTTTCTTGCAGGGTGATATATGGCATGGAAAAGACTTTAGACTAGGTGTCTATATCCCTGTCTCCTCTTCTAGCCTCTATATTCCAGGGCTAATAAAAATCTCTACGTCATCTATGGCCTTTCTAGGAAGCTCCTATTGCTGGGAATCTCAGCAGGGCTTATGGTATCCATTCATTTCCTCTCCAGATTCAATTGTTCTGCCTCCCAGAACATTCCATTGATTTGGGTAGACAGAGGGATGTGAGAAACCACAGAATTTCAAGCAAGTTAGAAACTCAGCTCCTGGGATGGTTTCTGCACATGTGCTAACTGGGAGGAATTTTGGGGAGAGGAGAGTTGGGACCACAGCAAGTTACAGATGGAAGGAAATTGGCTCAAGGGTGTCCAGTTCCCTGTTCACACATTTGTATGTTGAAGGTTGTCTGAGTCCATTTTACTGCCCAGAGAGTTAGGGCCATACTTATCTGGTTGGCTGTATAATTACTGAAGTAGGAGAGCTCCTTTGGGATTGGAGCCCAGATTCTCAACTCTAAATGCAGGCTGCTTCCCCCTATGCTGAGACCATCTCTTCCTAGATTGAATCAATGATAGTCCTGCTGGCATCTAAGTAGGGGTCCATGGCTGCTGACCCATGGGGTCTATTGTGGAGTGGCTTTACTCTTTATATGGCCAGTTTGCTGTGTGCTCTGGAACACAGGTATAGTATGGTGAGGCTGAAAGTGCCATAAGCTCTGGACATGGCTGGCCAGATTTCTTGTCACATCCCCAGATCCTGGTCCATGGCATGGCACAGGATTGGTGTGCAAGTACTTATTGATGTGCAAGTACTTATTACAAATGATTTACAACAGCAAGCCCTAAAGCCCTGATCAAAAGGCACCAGGAAGAGGAGGTTTCTTTTCTAATCTCCAGACACTGGAAAACAACTTGGCTTTTGGAGAAAACTGGAGGCACTGAATAGCCACCTGGACATGGAAGTCCCTTCTTGTCCTGAGAGTATGGTTCAAATGAAATATTCACCTTTTATGTGCCATTCCTTATAGCATGTAGGAGAAATAGATCGAATAGGAGGAACAATCTTATCAAACTTCAGGTATTCTGTTCTCTTAAGTGACCAAGCCATATACCCATCTGATAAATTTCCAAATTGACCTTTTTTTTTTTTCCTCTAGCCATTATCAGAGGGACATCATTTCACACTCTAACATGTTCTTTTGTTCTCATGTTTGTAGCATGCTGACAGGCATCCAACAAATACTTACAGAGTGCTTATTCGTGCCCAAGGCCCTGTTGTGGGCACGGGAGACACAGCCAGGTTTACATTTCAGTCGTGGGGACATTGGACGAGCACATTGTAGGAGTGCAGTTGTTTGTGATGCACGTTATGCAGAAGCACAGGGCTTTGTGAGAGTGTATTTGCCTTAGGCTCCTGACCTGTTCTCTCAGCCTCATGAAAAGGGGATTATGGAAGGAGGCAGGATTAGTATCAGGACAGCTGCTCATAAAAGAGAGTGAGGTCATGGTGAATTTTTGGCCAAGTTGAGTTTTAGCAGCCTGATGAGTTTTAAAAACTTTGCAAAGCTGTCTTCAGTTTATACTCAGGCCCAAGTTAATTGTTTGTTTCTGTAGCACCATGGAGCTGATCCCTAGTTCAGGCTGGCTTTAGTTGAGGGCATCTTGCTTTATACCTAAGCAACAACACAGAGGAAGTCCTAAATGTTTACGCTTGGTTTGTTCCAGGGCTCTTATTTCGGCCTCTCTGTCCTGGAGGACTGGGCTGGAACACTACAGAGGAGACCTTGAGGTCCTTGAGTGTCCTCTCCAGACCTGGGGCAGATGCCACACCCAAGCCTTCAGCATCCAGTGAGCCCCACTTCAAATTCCCTAGTTTTCCAGAGCAAATGAACCAGTCTGTCTTTCATTTCTTCTCTACTCCAGATAGCTCTGTTTTTCTACTTGCTTTTCCAACTATTTCAAGACTCTCTGTATGCTGGGCTATAGAGCCTGTTTCAACCTGGACATTGCCTTTTCTCTATCTCCTTCCTCCCTCTTTGGTTACATTCAAATAATTATCTCTCTTTTTCTTCCTTCCCTTTCCTCTTCTCCTTCTTCCTTCCACCCTTCCTTCTCGGATTCCCTCCCTCCTTCCCTACCATTTAATCTCCATTGTCTATTTTTAAAAATAATTACAAAATTGAGTGATGCTGGTTGCAGTTAACTCAAGTTCTCTTAAATTGTAAACGACCGAGATGACTCTGACTTTGCAAACTTCAGGCGGACTGTGCTTCTTTGAAATGCAGGGAAGAAAGGAGTAGGAATAGGAAAACGAAAGACAGTGGAATGAATCTGACGTAGTATATATATATATATATATATATATATATATATATATATATATAAATACACCACAGTGAGTCCCACCAATGTGTACATCCACAAGAATGGGGTTCTAATTAAAATAAGATATATTCCATGCTTGTATGTCAAAACGGATTCTACTGTCATGTATAACTGAAAAGAAATAATAATTAAAAAAAGATATGTAGACACCAGAAATAATATTTTTTAAAAAAAAGATATGTAGGTACCAAGAGCTGGAGTTTCCAGCCTGAGGACAATGGGAACTTCAAGTATTTCCTGGGAAGCTCTGAGGACTGCGTGCATATTCCACAAACCATTCTAGTGGCTGCCTGTCACCTTGGCCACTATGATCACCCCAGAAGCATTTGCTTCAGGGTCCCACATCACTACTGTCCTGCTTCACCTCAACATAGTCATTGGGTCCCATATGGCATTCTAAGGCACAGTTCTGCCTCTGTTATGCCCAACAAGTCTGCCTTAAGGACTTGAAGAGAAACACAGTGTATATAATTGCTACTAGAAATGCTGCCTTTGGGGGACCACAGCCTGAATTTGATTTCTGTTCCCTGATAAGGGGCAGCACCACCTTCAACAAGAATCTCAATGCATCAGAAGCCACACAGTTCTCCTTTAATCCTGAAGATATTGGGGCCACCTCCACCTTACTCCCTGCCCCCTGCTGATAGAGTTCCTTATTTTCCTGATCACGTACTAAATACCACTGGGGAAACCAACATTCCGTGGGATGTGTTTGGCTTTCTTGGTCTCAAAAAGGCAATAACAATATTCAATAGGACACTTGCTGCAGCCTGCCTTGTTCAGACTGCAATAACCACATTTGGAGACTCAGAATGATTTAGCATAGTGGAGAAGTTTTGTCTGGTCCGTTTCCCCACATTTTGCCACAATGTGTGGAAGTTGCACCTTCTGATCTGTGGGCTCTCAGACACAGAACAGCACCTCTGCCACCACCATTACCACCACCACCTCCATCTGTAACACCTCCGCCACCACCATTACCACCACCACCTCCATCTGCAACTCCACTGCTACCATAGTAGAAATCACCATTTTGTATGACTGTCACCACAACTGCTATCACTAGTACTATCATGGCCTCTACCTCCATCACCCTAACCACCCTATCACTAGCTCCACTTTCACCATCACCACCATCACTTCCTCTATTACCACCTCCTCTTTTCTCCTCACCACTTCTACCACCTCCATCACCATCTCTACCTCCACCACCTCCATCATCACTTCCTCCATCACCACCATCACCTCCTCCATCACTAACTATCTTCTCCATCACTACTTCCTCCATCACCCCCTTGACTACTTCCTTCATCACTCCCCCTTCCTCATCATCACCTCCACTTCCTCCATCACCCCTTCCACCACTTCCCCTCCTTCATCACCACCTCCACCACCTCTATCACTACCTCTATCTCCTCTATCACCCACTGTACCTCCTCTATCACCACTACCATCTCCTCTATCACTCCTCCATCATCACCTCGACTACTACTACTGTTAGCTGCTAGGCAGGTAGTTTTAGGGGCAACCATCTATGTTTGTGGGGGGAAATCTGCTG